CCCCGCCGCGCCCTCGCCCGCCGCCCGCCGCCGTCCCGGAGGCCCCTCGCGAGCCCGAGGCCGAGCACCGCCGGCCCGGCTCCGCCGCCCCTTTCTCTCCTCGCCCGCCCGGGAGCAGGAACATGGTAAGTGCTCCGCCCACCGCCGGCCGGGGGCCGCGCCGCTCCGCAGACGTGCGGCGGGCGGGCGGGCGCGGGTGCGGGCCAGGCTGCGCGCGGGGCCCCGGCGGTGGGGCGGTCGTTACATAAACTTTTGCTGCCTTGTCGGGATGGGACTCGCCACCTTTAGGTGGCTCCTTTGATTGCAGCTCCCGGCGCCGGCACGTAGCCCGCTGGTCGCGCTCCCCCGCGGGTGTTGCATAATGTCTCCTGATTCCGGGAGAACTGATGTTTTGGCAGGGAAGGGCGCCGGGGGCCGAGCCTCTCCGGGCGGGAAGATGCTCTTTCCCCCCTCCCGTCCCTTCGCAGGGCCGGCGCCGCGGGGCAGAGGACGGCGTTGAGTAATGGGGATGGTGCTGGTTTGCTCGCTGAGAAAGGGCTGGTGGCGTGAACGGTGACGGCATTCGGAGAATGCCTGCTCGGCGTTTGTTTGTGTCAGCGGCTGTGTCTGCACAGGCGTTTTCCACCCTGTTTGTCGTCAGCGTGTTTTACAAGCCCTCGGGAAGGTTGTGGGATTTGTCCTTTCATACATTGCATAATCTGCCCACGGCGAAAGGTTGGCAAGGATTACGGGCTGATGTGGGAATGTGCGCGCGTGTGCGCAATGATTTGGTAATTTTAGCGCAGCACTGGATATTAGATCGTTATTTTCGTCTGTATTACTTCCCAAATAAACATGTTTTAAAACTGTCCTATAAAGCATAAAAGGAAGAATTCCTCGGGTTGAATTCTGGTCTCGGGTACTACTGGGGTTAGCCCTTTCGGTGTTCCAGAGCTGTTATTTTTGAATCTGGGACGAACCATTGTGACGTTTTCCTCCCCACCTTCCTAATTTTAATGCATGCCATTCGATCAGCCTTTTTTCTCACCTTAATTGTCATTGCTTTTTCAGACACGACAAGACAGATCACATAATAGTTTCCTGGAAATGTTGCATTATGTAACTGCCAAATTTGCTGGCAGTGAGCATACAGAGAGGGAGGTAATTACGTGATTTTATAATCTTGCTACAAAGAAAGTAGGACACTCTCAGCCTTTAAGAATGTCACTATAACTGTTTTGGGTGTTTCTTTTTTCTCCTTAATGATATTTTAAACAGGAAAGTAGACAGCCGGGTAAGCATTGAGTTTGCTCACGCTACCGAATGTGTCTTTTGCCCTAAATGAAATGTGCGTTCTTCTAAATTTAGCCCTTTCACATTTTAACAATTGTGGCCTGGCAGTGCTATTTCTGGTGTTTTCTCCAGGGCTGTGTGCAAATACATGTCCAAGGCCATTTGCTGTAGTTTCAACTGCACGCCTTCAAAGACCTTTGATAAGATTGTATTTTTAGGAAGGCATTTCGCGCACCCGGTGGTTTGACGCTGACTCCCGTTTATCTTTTTAAGGATACTTTAGGAAACTGCTGTTCTCTGAGAACAGCAGGCAAGGCCAAGTGTCATCTTCTGTTCTTGGCTTTTGTAATAACAACAGCAAATTAGGTCAGAAGTATTTATTTCACATCGTATTTTTTTCCCCAGACCAGATATGATTTATGGGAAACAGAAATAGGTTAGTAGATTGTTTTTTTGCCTGGATACCCTAGTTTTACCCATGTGAAGATACACAAATATATAATATGCCCAGATATTAAATTTCTTCCAGGATTGTTACGTAGGGTAATTACGTGTGACTGTATGTATATATGTATATGAACAGATTTTTTTCCTAACGTTACATTTAAATAAAGTGCAGGATTTTTTTGGTGGGGGCGTGGGAACATACTAAAGCGCTTCACCTCTGGAACAGAGTATATTTCACCCCCAAGTAATTGCAGCCTCTTTCCGAGAAGCTGGTGTTGTCCTAGGCCCGCGAGCATCGGCCCGCAGCTCCTGTGCGAGCTCGGGTGGGAGCGAGCCCCGGCCTGCAGGAGGCCGCGTGGCGCCACCTCCCGATCGCGACCTCCCGGCGCGCCCCCTCCCCTGCGGACCCGGGGGTCTTCGGGAAGCCGAGGCTGCGGACGGCGGGCCTGGGGGCGGCACGGGGGTGGCGGGCGGGGACCGCTGCCCGGGACCGAGGAGCGCCTCCGGGCGGCAGCGAGACCCGGCTGCGCCGTGGCCCGCGCGCCTCCCCGCCCCCTCCCCACATTCCTTTGTTCTGGCGCGGGGGTCCTCGCGGCGCCGAGGCCCCACCGCGCCGCCCATCGGAGGGAGGCGGGTCTCGGGGAGGCGCCGCGTGGGGCGCGGCCCGCGTGTCCGGGCCCTGGGACTGGCCGGGCCCGGGCGTGCGGGTGCGCAGTCGGCTGGCCCGGCCGCGCGAGGCGGGGAGCGGAGGCCCGAGCGCGGGCACGAGGCGGAGCGGGACGGCCCGGGCGACCCGGAGAGCTGGCATCTCGGCGGCCGCCCTCAGCTAGGGCAAAGCCAGGGCCTGACTGCACTCCTTTTGCACCGTGAGGTTCTGAAAGCCCGCAGACACCTTTGTTCAAGGCGTCCTCACTGTATTTCTGAGCCAGGCGCTTCTCCATTGCAGAAGTGAAACAGACGTTGAGATAAACCTCCAAATGTCCACAGACCGCAAAAATTGGGGGTGGGTATTGATAGTGATAAAAAGGAAGGCCCAGCTTGACTTTGGCCACTAGAGCCTGTTTTTTTCTTTTTTAACCTTTACTTTATCTGGTTAAAGGCTAGAGTAGAGAGAACTCAGATCTCCAGAGTTGAAAATAAAAGGAAAATGCCCACATAGACGTGCTGTCCTACTGTAAAACTGTATGTAGTACTTTCATCCTGCCATAAAGACTTCCAGCATCGTGCTCACGCAGCAACTCACAGTGACTTCATGGAGACATCACACATGTTCTCTGAAAGCGCGGCAACGCGGTCTGCTCTGTGTTGAAAATGGATGGAAAACTTGGCTTCTGTGGGGTCATATCCTACACCCCTGTCCCTAATCAGTTTCCCTCTGTTACCGGCTGCTTTCAGTCCTTAGAGACACGCTTTGGTGAGGTGCAAAAAGCGTAGGCTCTGAGCTCACAACAACCCTGGGGCCTGGGCCCCCAGCTGTGATGTCCCTGTGATACCCTGATTTCCATCAACCTCCAGGGGAAACTGAGGGAATAGAGCCCGTTGAGCTGGACAGCTGTAAGCAGCTCAGTAAAGGCTTCCTGTAATTGACCAGGAATGAGAGTTTTGTGTGTAGATAATGTACATGTATTCGCCTTCATTTTTCACTGCTCAGCATCTTTGTGCAGTAACAGTAAGGATTGTTGTTGGAATTAAGCCTATGAAGATCTTTCTTGAGATACTTGTTTGTTCTAATAATGATTAATTTTTTATGAAAACTGTTTGCCAGTACATCCAGTGTTAATTTCAGTTTGAAAGGAATTCTTGACAGATTGCATAACCTCAAACTTCCCAAACCATCAGAGTAATGTTTTGGGGAACTGTTTGAAGGAGCAGAGAGATGAGTAGATGGTGGCGGGAATGGTGTAACAAGTGCCAAACATCTCAGCGTTTTCTAGTTCATTCGAACTTTCTGTGACGCGCTTTCTTCCGCCTGGATGATCTCTGCACCGAAAACCTTGTAGTCTGAGATCAGCAGTGGCTGGCCAGACCCCACAGCTCGGCTCTCTTACAGTGGGTGTAGGTAGCCCGAAAACTAAGGCCAAACCCTGTGAAACTGTTTGTATTTGACCATTCTGATGAACAGAAGAAAATTCCATTTGGTTTACTGACAGAAAGAGCTTGCTACTGACAGTCATCCTTGCCTTGATATTGTCATTCTTCAGAAAGGAGGTGAAGCGCCAGTACTTACCAAACACTCACTCTGCAGTGCCAAGCATGGCATGAGGGCTTTTATTATCATTCCTGTTTTATAAGTGAGAACACGAGAGTTCAGAGAAATTGATTAGCCTGAAAAGGAGAAGGGGAATTTACACCTTGCCACAGTGTGTTCTCACACTCACTGTAGTTTTTGAAACAATTTCCTTTTCTGTGTTAAAGGCTTATCTTTGTGAAGTGCAATTATAACATCACTGTGATGCAACAGCCTGAAAATTAAAACCCTTTGTGAGGCCCTTGCACACATTGAGCAATGTGTCTGACTCACCAGCTGAGTGGATTTTTCTAGTTGACCTTGCCTTGGTCATTAGAGTCAATTCCGAGATGCAAATATGATTGCAGCATGGAATGGAAAGGTGAAGTCATGTTGCCTAGGCTTTATTTTTACCGAAGTTAAACTCACACATACTTCATTATTTCCATTGTAATCCAGATGGCATTGATGCTGTTAAAGCTGTTTATTTTTAATTTGTATTGAGGAATGAGAGCACTCTTGGGATTCAATTCAAAATATAACACAAACAATGTCATGGAAATTTCTTTTAATATTCATTTCTTGTTTTTGTAAGGTATGCACGTATTTCACTGGGTTAACACATTGTTTGGTATCCTGTTTTTTTTTCTAAATTATATTTGAGTTGATTTTTATTCAGATTGGACTTGTATGAGAATGTTGAAAGACATATGACCTTTGATCACAGACATTACATAAGAATTCTTTAGTTTCAAAATGAATTTTTATTACCCACCCCCAATTAGCTCTCCAATTTCTTTCCAAATAACTTCTTGTAGTTTTTTTTTTAAAGAAACTGTTTCTCATATGGTTTTAATTAGTGAGCATAATCTTGTTTTTATGATAAGAAAGTTTAATAGGGATTTACCAGATGCCACTTATTAATAATCTCTGCTTTGAGAACTCAGTTGCATTGGAATCAGAATGATGTCGATAAGCCTTTTAGTTATCAGAACATGGTGTCTTTTATTAATTAACTTTCTAGGGATCTTAAACTGTTAGTAGCCTTCAAATAAACACTAAAAATAAGCATTTTTTAATCCACTCTATTAATAAGGTACATAGTAACATAAATGACATTTACAATCCCCACTGACTGGATTAGTGGGTGGGAACAAAGAAATTAAAAAGCCAAGCTGA